GAGGTGGGATGGGCCCCCAACCCCCAGCCTCTGCACTCCTCTGCTGGGCTGGGCTGCAGCGGCCCAGGCCTGCCCGGCAGGCAAGAGCTGTTGGCTGGCGCTCCTCTCATTTCCTCTTGGCCTGCAGGCCCGGCTGCCTCGGGAACAAAGGGTGGATTGTGCCTCCTTCAGGGCCTGGTTGCCGGCCGAGCCTGGGACGCTCCCGGGCTGGCTGCTGCCCCTGCCGGGCCTGTGGGCAATGGCTGTGTTTCCAGCCAAGCAGGGCTACCCTGGACGACTGTCCTAGGCCCCGGAGTCGGCAGCACCAGACCAAGGCTCCTCCCAGGTGCCTCTGCAACCAGGAGCCATGGCCTAGCTGCCCAGTTCCCCTTGCCCAGTGCCTGGCTCTGTGTGCAGCTCAAGGGTGCCAGTCCAGCCTGTACCAGCTCAGGGCCCTCCGTGTTCTCTGCCCCCACCACGACCCATCCACCCTGCTGCCCACTTATACCTAGGCTTCCTTGGCCTTGGATTTGGGGTCCCTGTACTCTGTGTTGGCTTTGGGGAGCCAAGGGAAGTCAGAGAGGGGCCGGTCTGCTCCCTGGGGGACAGCACGGCCACAGCTTGCCCATGCTCCTGGCACCACAGGGCCATCCACAGAGTATTTAGTGTGTGCCGCTGTACGCAAGCTGCCCAGACCACAGGGGGGCAGATAGCCAAAGGCAGACAGCACCCACACCCCAGCCTGCAGACCCTTGGAAGGCGCCCATCCCTCGGGGTACCCTCACTGGGAAGGGCGCGCTCTGATGGCAGCAGGGGCTCCTGTGAGATGTCCATGCACCAGCCCCCAGCCCCCACCCCACCCCCACGCCCTGAGAGGACGCCTGGCTACCCAGTGCCAGGCCCCAGCCCCGGCCCCCCCCACACCCTCACTGGCTGTGGCTTTGGCTCCCACCACCACAGTCAAAGGGGCTTTGTGGAGCAAAGTGGCCCATGTGAGGGGCTTGGAGGGGCTCCAGGAAGGAGCTACAGAGGACACGCTTGGAAGAAAGAGGAAAGAAAAACAGGAAAGAGCTGTGCACGGAGGAGGAATTCGCCTCTGTGCAGCCTGGCGCCATCGGCATCGCCCCCTCCTGGCCTGGGCTCCGGTGCCTTTCTTGGAGGACTCTGTGTGAGCACCCTGGGGAGCTGCTCCAGGCACAGACCAGGCAGAGCAGGAGAGGAGCTGGGTTCCCCACATCCTTGCCATGTCAAGGGGCAGCCGGGTCCATTGTGCCGGGGTCATTGCCACCCAGATGCTGGGCCTTCAGACGTCCTCACTGAGGCTGAGGACAGGGTGGCAGTGGGGTGTCCCCCCCCGCCCTGCCCAGCATGTCTGTCCCTGTTGCCAGGCTGGCTCAAGTTCCTGAAGGCACAGTCTCAGCCTGTGCTCTCCCCAGAGCTACTGGTCCTACGGTCCTAGTGAAAGGGCTGAGGGCTCCTTCAGTGGCCCTGAGAGGACACTGGGGAAAGGGTCAGTGGTCCCTAGAGGAACAGGCCTGTGGCCAGCCAGTGCAGGCCCAGCCCACCCTCCCCACCAGTCAGGCTCAGGAGTTCGAGGCTTTCAGGGAAGGTCACAAAGAGCCACTGCGGGGGGCTGGACCCCCACTTTGCCACTTCCCACGCATCTGCCCTCTGTGGCCATACTGCCTTCTCCCCTCCCATCATGGCTGGGACCCTGGGAATCCCCCAGACAGACAGGGGTCCCTGCCGGGGCCAGGCTTGGCACTCTCCCAATGTCTGGGGCAAAGGCGGCACCCAGGGCACAGGGGTCACCGTCCTGGAGCTCACGCTGAGGGCAGTGGCGGGAGCTGAGAGCCCCGGCTGGTGCCGCCCCCCCCCAGCTCCCCCTGCCCCTGCCCTGCCCTTCCTGGGCTACTGCAGACCCTGGGCAGGGAAGCGTAGCTGCAGCAGTGTCACTTTGCCCTGTGCAGTGCCAGTTCTCCCACCATGAGGACAGCTCATCATCCACGGCACTGGTGCAACACAGGGTTGTGTCCTGGGCCAGTGACCTTTCACAAGCCTGGGTCCCGCTAGGCAGCGGTCCCCAGTAAGGTGTGTGCACAGCAGCCCAGAGCCTAGCTGGGAAACGCCCTCCCCTCACCCAACCTGGGCAGCAGACAGGCGCTGTGAGCCAGAGCACCAGGGACATCTGGGTCACCAGGCAGCGGGCACACAATCAGGTGGCAGTGGCCCCTCTGGCTGGCTCCCACACCTCTCACTGCCCTGGAAGGGGTGGGTGGTCAGTGCCCTTCTGTGGCTGTGGTTTGGGCCAGACCCTAGGAGCAGGTGCTGGTGTCTCACCTCCTGTTGAAGAAAGGAAGTGGTCACTGACCTGGCCACTGTCACATCCCCATTCACCAAGTATGAGGACAGGGAGGCCTCAGACATCATCCTGGCAAGGGCTTCACCCTGGTAGCCACGCCCTCTGCCTCCCCACCTCCTCTGCCTGCACTACACCCTGGGCCTGGCAAGGTCACCTAGTCACTCAGTGTCAGTGTCTACCCAGCCCCCACCCCAGTCCCTGCCTGGTGCTGGACCTGTGTCCTGAAGCCAAGTCCCTGTGGGTGTCCCACCCCATGTCCTGGCACACACATCTCTGACCTGGGCCTGAGGCACTGATCTCATCTCCAGCTAGGGCCTCTGACCCCCAGGCTAGGTGGGGCTGTCCCTTTCCCCTCCTCTCTGCTGTCCACCCCCACTCCCGCCCCATCTGAGACAGCTGCGTACTGGCTCAGGACACCCTTTGAAGCCAGAGGGTGGGGAAGCAGTCACACCCAAGGGTGTCAGAGCCCAGCCCACCCTTTCAAGTCCACCGGCTCTCACAAGTGACCGGCTTATCACTGCCTGGGACACTGGCAGGGGGTCAGAGGGAAGAGCAGGCTGGCAACATGCCCGGCCTCACGCAGCACCCCGTGAGGATCCTCACCCAGGACTGCGTCCCCTCTCGAGTGGCCATCAGAAGCTGCTGGGGTCATCCTGAGGATACCTCCTGGCCCCTGCTGGGACCCCCAGGGCGGGGAGTGCTGGGGCCGCGGCACATGTTGTCTGTCCCTGCAGCCTGGTGACTGCTCGCTGACCTTCCTAGAGGGCCCAAGGGCACAGGGGCCTGGTCTTGTCCACGTGAGGATGGTAGGATGGGCCCCTCTCCCGCCAGCCCTCGTCCTTCTAGGATCAGGTGTCCGCCCCTTCCAGGGGAGGCCAGTGAAACCTAACAGGGTGTTTCGGTCCCCCGGGTCCTGCTGCCCAGCCTGGCACCCAACACAGGCAGAGTGTGCTTTGGAGCTGGCCCACCACTCAGCAACCTCCCAGGACCCCCAGAAGGGCCCAGCCTGGTCCCAGAGAACCCAGGCCCAGGGTTCTGCCACTGTCCCGCCCAGACCTGGCAGGGATAAGGGCACCTCATGTTCCTGTGGGTGGCTCTGGCCTCAGGCCAGAAGGGTGCAGGCTCAGGGTCTTGGTGAGCTCCTTCCAAGCTCCCAGGAGGGCATCTCAGCTCCTGTACCCACACAAGGCCTGGGGTCCCCCACTGCCCAGAGGGCCCTGCTACCTTGGAGTTTCTTAGTGCCTAAGTTTCCCTACTACCAGGGGTCTCCTGCCAGCCAACTTCTCCACCCCCGCAGGGGTCCCGCTTTCCTCACCCTCCTGCCCCAAACTGAAACCTGACCAGGCCTCAGCAGCCTGTCCCGTCTGCGAAACATCTGTCATCCCCAGCTGTAGGTCACCTGGAGCCCCATGGTGCCATGGTCACTCCCTAGGCTCTGCCAGCCAGAAACAGCCTCATCACTCAGAGGCAAGACCACGTCGCACAGCTTCCCCGGGCTAGGCCCGAGTCCCTGGAGCAGCGTCTGTGCTGTGTGGGTCCCCAGGTGGGGGAGCCCGGGGAGACTCCCTTCCCACCTTGAGCCCCGCTTGCTCTCTCGAGGGCTGAGCACATTGGGGCTGCCATGGGGCAGCCAAAGACCCTACACATCAGTGAGAGCATAGCCCAGCACCCCACAAGGCTGCTCCCTGCAAAGGAATGGGGACCTCTGTCCACCATCCAGGGTGGCCAGGACGGTGCCAGATGGAGTCCCAAAGACAGATGTGGCCATGACCTGGCCCTGGGCACCCAGCTGTCAGAGGCCACCATACCAAAACCACACAGGGTACTATACCATACCAACCCCCCACAAAGTGGGGCCAGGACAGCAAAATCCTGCTGGCCACAGGAGGCCTGGTCAGCCAGGCTGAGCTCGGTGCCACGCCAGCCACAGCCACACCCAGGGAACCCCAGTCTTCTTGGGGGTACCAGGCCTCAGGCCCAAGACCCACACATGAGCACACACATGCACACATGCACAGCACACCTGCAGACATACATGCACAGCCACAATACATCAGCTTACGTATGCACATAACAGACACAACACGGACCAGTCAGAAACTGCGTCAAGAAAAAGGATGCACACTTCCTTGTTTAACAAAATAAATTAAATATACGAGGCTTCAGCTCAAACTCTATATAAAATCACAGAGACCAGGGCCGCAGGGGCAGGGGCGGTGGGTGGCTGACCGCAAGGGTGTGGATGCCAGCATGGCTGTGTGGCCAGGCATCCAAGGCCCCAGACAGGCCAGCCCCTGGAACCCCAGCCCTGCTCCCATCATTAATATTACCTCCTTTCTTAAATATAAATATCACGGCCCTGCTCTGTGGCAGTGGGGAGGCAGGGGCAAGTCCACACCTCCCCACCCGGGTGGCTGGGGGCCATGGACACCCTGCTGGGCAGGACACAGGCAGCAGGCGGGCAGGGTCCTTCATCTACTAGCATGGCTACATCACCGCAAAGTCGAAGGCCCATGCCTTCCCAAGGGCGTCTCAGTCCATGTGTATGTGCAGCATGTCTGTGTGTGTGTGTGTGTGTGTGTGTGTGTGTGTGCGCGCGTGTGTGTGTGTGAGTCCGTGTCTAGTGGTCTGTGTGTCCATCTGGCAGTGTGTCTGTGTACCCAGCCAGTAGGCATGCGTCTCGCGCAGGGTGCTGGCTGCCGCCTCCCCACCGGCTTCCTGGCCTGTCGCCATGCCCACTGTGTCTAGCACTGGTAGTGGACATGCTGGTGCTGGTGCACCTTGCCCTCCACATGTGAGTGTGTGTGTGAGTGCGTGTGCGTGTGCACATCCGTGTACAGCTTGGGGTACAGCTTGGGGCCAGCTGCTGAGCCCGAGCCCAGTGCATGCTCCTCACACAGCCCCACGGCCAGCGCAGGCAAGTCCTTGTCACCACTGCGGTCCCGGGACAGGGCTGGCGGGCGGTGGCTGGGTACAGGCGGGGTGGACATGGGCGCACAGGGCTTCTTCTTGGCCTGGCAGAGCCACAGCAGCACAGTGCCCAGGATGAAGACAGCGCCGGCCGGAATGCCGATAACCACGGGCCACGGCAGGCTGGTGGTGGAGGACGAGGGAGCCACAGGGGGCCCTGGTGGTTTGGGGTCTGGAAGAAAGACCAAGGTAAGGGGAGGAGAGAGGAACGCTGCCAGGGACAGGGTGCTGGCCTGTGTGTAGGTGGCATGACCACACTGAGCCCTGCGAACGGCACAGGGGCAGCAAGCCCCCACTGGGCACACGCAGGCCCCTGGGAGCCCAGCCACACACCTGGCAGCACAGTGAGGAAGGCACTGCGGAAGCTGTAGCCCATGGTGTTGGCGCCCAGGCAGATGTACATGCCCGCGTCGTCCTGGCGGGCACGCGAGATGAGCAGCTTGTTGAGGTAGGAGCCGTCGGGCCGCGACCACACGTCACCCGTGGGCAGCACCACGAACTTCTGGCCACCCACATCGATGGTGGAGTTGTGGCGGCCCTCGGCGCCGTACTCCACCCGCTTCAGCCACTGGATCACCGGCTTCACATCACTGCGCACCTTGCACTGGAAGGATGTCGTGCCCCCAAAGTCCACCGTTGTGTTCACGGGGTGCGTGCCGGTGAGCACGGGCTTGGAGCGCGTCCGCTCTGCGGCAGGGATGTGTGTGTTGCTGGCAGCACCCACCCCAGCCCCAAGCCCCCACCGCCCTCCCACCCTGGCACTCACGGATCACGTCCACTTTGTAGGTGGCATTGATTGCTCCTGCCCGGTTTGACACGCGACAGGTATATTTGCCGCTGTCCTCAGGCCGCAGGTTCTTCAGGCTCAGGGTCCACCTCTTCCTGTGCTCACCAGCCTCTGGGCGTGTCAGGGCTTGGTCATCCTTCATCCACGTGATGTCGGGCCGTGGGTGCCCACTGGCGACACACTTGAGCCGCACAGAACTTCCCACAGGCCGTGCAATCACCCGGCGCCGCATCTTAGCCGGCTGTGTGAAGCGAGGACGAGCTGCAGGGGGGTCACTGAGTCAGCTGGGAGTGTGAAGGGTGCCAGGAGATGGTAGCCATCCTCTCCTGGGGGATGGGGCCCCCCACCCTACGCTCACCCCACTGCTGGCCAGCTGGGTCCTCCTTGTCCCCCGAGGAGCTGCCGGGCCCTGGGATCTGCTTCCCAGGGCTGACGTCATCTGCAGGGAGGGAAGAGCCTGTGGTGAGGGCACACCCAGGCCCTCTCTAGACACCCCGGTAGCCCCGGCTGGGGTGGCCCTAGAACCCCAGTGAGGCCACCAACACTCCTATGGCTCAGAGTCCACGGACAGCTGGGTAAGGGCTGCCTGCCAGCCCCATTCCCAAGTGCAGGTGACCCCGACAGTCATGGATGGGACTGCAGGGTGGGCCTCCCTACCCCAGCTGTGGGGCGGGGGAGGGGAAGGGGCTGGCGGCTGGCAGCTGCAGTAACCCTAGCCCACATCAAGGGGCCGAGGGCTCGGGAGGCAGACATGGCTCACATACCACCCAGCCATCGTCCGCTGTGCAAGGACTGGGGGGCTCAGTATTCCCATTCCTCAACCCAGCGAAGGCCAGGCTGGGAGAGGACATTGGGAGGAATGTCCCCCACCCGCCCGGACGGTGCCACCTCCACTGAGCTGGGGCCAAGGCCCAGGCCCTTGAGCTGATGCCCTCCCTGGACCCTGAAACGGAGCGGTCAGCCCAGGCCCCACACCAGGGAGCTGGGCAGGGCAGGGTGTGCCTGGTACCACAGGGGAGGGCGTGTCACCAGGGCCACCTGTTCACTTTGAGGGCCACGGCCCCTGGGCGGGAGAGAACAGAAGCCACTGCCTCCTGCGGCCCCTCTGAACTGCGAAACCTGAGCTCAGTGTCGCAGGACACCAGGGTGCACCCTGCCAAGCCCCCAGCTGCCCATGTCCTTGGGGGGACCACTGCCTGGCCACCATGCCTGGTGCTGCGCTGGAAGGGGCTGGCCACCAGAAGGCCAAGGCTCAGGGGACAGGCCAGGCCCCCGGGGCCCCCACCTCCCACCCTGCCACGCCCTGACCGCGCCCCACTGACCCATCACGATAAGGGTGTAGTTGACACTGAGGCTGCCAAAGCCATTGGTGGCCTTGCACACGTACACGCCTGCGTCCTCCGCCTCCACTGCCTTCACCTTCAGCCCCTGTGGCAGCACACGGAAGCGGCTCCAGCCGCCGTGGATGGTGCGGCCGTCCTTGGTCCACATGGTCAGGGGCGGCGGGTCTCCCTCCACCGGGCACTGCAGCCGCACAGTGCGGCCTAGCCGAGCCACCTGCCGCGGGGCCACTTTGTCTGCCATTCTTGGGGGCCCTGTAGGATGGGAGGGCTCAGGCAGGGAACAGAGCCTGGGCTGTTCCTGCCTAGCCCCGCTGGAACACCTGCCCAGTGAAGCAGCCCACATCCAGCCTCCCACACCCAGGGGAGGACCTAGGAGGTCCCAGAGGGGTGGGGACACAGCCTGACTCAGCCCCTTCTGCAGTCTGAACCGAGAAAACGGGCAGCAGGCATGGCGACGCACTCCTGCAAGCTCAGCACTTGAAGGCTGAGGCAAGAAGGTCACCAAGAGTTGAGGCCACCCTGGGCTACACAATGAGACCTTGTAGCAAAAAACATATCAAACTTAGAGACCTAGCGAGACTTTGTCTCAAAATGAAAAGTAAGGCTGAGGATGTAGCTTAGGGCAGAGGCCCTGGGCTCAATCCTCTGAACAGCAAAACAAAAAGAAAAGAAAGCAGGAACATCCCAGACATATCAGAAGGGGCCACGCACCCCCAGGTCAAGCAGGACAGGGCCCTCGGGGATAGGCACAGCAGGCGGGGGCTCCTGCTGTCCCTCATCACGCATAGTCACAGGTCTGTCCTCAGCTGCAGACCCCTCACCTCTGCACCACCCCCACAATCACCATCACCCAGGGCCCAGCCAGGCCTGGTTCAAGGACAACAACTTCACAGCCATCACACACAGGTGACCAAGGAGCAGGACAGCACCCTTGGACATCCTGTGGGCAGTGAGGGTGCCCTATGTCACTGGAGTCTGAGCCCAGACACCATCTGCCCAGGGAGGCAACTGAACCACAGGGGGATGTGACCCATGGCCCTGAGGTCAAAGGCCGCATCTGGACTGGGCAGGGCTGGGGTGGAGAGGTGGTCCTGCCCAGGGCACTCCAGAAGGCCTGGGGGAAAGCCGAGGCCTGGGTCTCCTGCCCCCTGCAGAGAGACACTCCAGGCTCCTTCCACCCACCAAGCCCCAGCAGGGGTGCCCCTGGGGGACACAGAGACAGCAGTGACCAAGACATCGGGAAGCGAGTGATATCACTGACTGGGAAGAAGATCCAGACACAGACCTTTGGGTATCAGGAATGTGTGGGCCCCTGGCAAGAGATGACCTTGGGAGGGAGGATGAGCTGGGGCTGGGACCATGGCGGGGGTGACCCCACCTCCCACCTACTCCCCAGGAACCCTCCTTTCTGACCAACATCCCCCCCTCTACTCACCACACCCTCTGCACCATGGGCCCCAGGCCAAGGTTCCCGTAACAGCCCCCTTCTCGCACCCTTCCTCCCCCATGGTCCACCCAGGCACCTGGCAGAAAGCAGTCCATGCACAGTTGTCCCGGGCCCCCAGCGCCCACCCGGCACAGACATAGAGCCCCCGAGACCCCTCCCCAACCCTCTGGGGTCCCGGCCCCAACCCAGGCAGACCTTGCCCACCACCTGTTACTGTCTGAATTCCACCACTCATGGGGCCTCCCAGGCTGCAGGACCAGGGAGTGGCCAGCACTACCCTGGCCCCTACGGCCCCCATGCCCCGCCTGCCAGCCTGGTGCCCAGGCCACCTGGACAGACCCCACACTCACACATGAGCACACACATGTGCACACGCTGGAGACACACCACTGCCAAGAGTGGCCTGGCCTGCAGCAGCAAGGGCCAGGCTGACCCAGGCCCCAGCCCAGCCCGAGCAGGAGACAGAGACACCCGGGAGGGGGCAGGGCCCTGGACAGGAGCAGACAGAGCAGCAGGGACCCATTTGTGGCCACTGCTGAGAACAGGCAGAGCCTGTGCCGCCAGATGGCCAGAAGCGTGGCCCCGGCCTGCACCACACAGGGGACAGGCCGGCGGGAGCCCATCTACAGGAGCCAGGCTTATCCTAAAGCAAACAGCGCCCGCCAGCCCTCCCCTCCCCTCCCCTCCGCGCCCTAGCCCTCTGCAAGCCCTGTGTGAGGGCTGCCCAGCAGGAAGCCAGCCCCGATTCCCGGGGATCTGAGTTGCAGCCACCACAGCTCTGTATTTAGCCCAGGAAACACAAGCCCCCATTGTTCTACTAGAGCCACAGAGCCCACTTGGCCAGTGAGGAAACTGAGGCAGGATCTGAGCCCATGGGTGCCACCACCCCACTGTCCTTGGAGGGCAGCTTACGTGAAGGCGGCAGCCACGTCTGGACCTCCCTCAGGCAATGCTGCCCAGTAGCCCTCCTCCAGTCCGGGGCCCTCTCGCAATCCCCGAGGAGGTCCAGCACAAGCAGGATGCGGGTGGTCGGACTAGGAGATGTTCTCACACTTCTGATGGGAGCCTCGGCACTGCACCTTGGGGTCCTTCCCTCCCCCATCTCCAACAGGCCTGCCCAGGGGACCTGGCTCCAGAGCAGTGTTGGGGGACACAGAAGGAGCAGAGTCCCTCTAGACGCCATACCTCAAGGCCAGGCCCCAGGAAACCGGAACCTCCCTTTCCAGAGCTGCCCTGCAGGCTTAAGGTCAGAAGCCCTGACCTGTAGGAGCTGGGTCTGGCCAGCACTGGTCTCATCCCCACCTCTCTGAAATGCATGGGGGCAGGTGACAGGGGCTTCCAGCAGAAGGCACATCGAAACAGGCAGGCCACCTTGTGCCTGGTGACTGGAGCAGGTGCAGGCAGACAGCAGTCCCCTGGCCTTAGACATGGTGGGAGTGGACTGTGCGCTGAGCACCCAGCAGGCCCAGCCCAGCCCAGTTCACACAAGGCCTGCAGGGCCCAGGAATTTACGGCCCGGGAGGAATTCTCTGGCCAGGCGGTGGCCTGACGGGCCGGGGGCAGCAAGCCAGGAGCCACCAGCCTGAGGCCCCTCCTGGAAAGGATGGGGCCTGAGGACTTGAAGGGCCATGGAGAGAAGACAGGTGCAGCCAGGCCCTCAGTACACCTGTGCCCACCTCAGGGAGGCCAGGGAAAGCTGGCCCCAGAGGCTCCAAGGCACTGCTCAGTGGCAACAGGGTGACCAGCCAGCCACATGTTGAGTCCTCTCTCACACAGCGCATAGGCCCTGGCCACAGGGAGAAGGTACAGCCCCCAAACCACACCCAGGCCACTGCAGCCCCACCTGAAGCAAGAGACTCCGGAGATGGGACCCAGGTCCCTCACCTCCCCAGCAAGCCACAGATGGGGGGAGGAGGGCGGGATGTCCCCAGGAGAAGAGCACAGGTGATCTCCAGGCATCAGGGGTACACATACTTCACACACACCCAGGCCTAGGACACACACAGGTGGCTGCCACAGAAACCAAGGGGTGCTGTGCCCAGCAAGCTGGCTGAGCATTCAGGTGCTATTCCCCCAACAAGGACCACCAACAAGGAGCGCACAGGCCAGGAGGGGGAGTGCACACAGTCCTGGCTCTCCAACCCCGGACTCTCTCTGCGCCGTCCCACGGCCCTTCTGGACCTCTGGCTCCCACAGCCTTTCTTCGACACACTCAGCCACACACGGCTGGCACCAGTGTCAGACAGGGCCACTGCCCACAGCAGGTGGTGACCACCACAGCCTCCCAGGCAGAAGCCCCTTCCCAAGACCACTGGAAGCCAGAGCCCCTGCCCTACCCTGCACTTCACCAGCACCAACCCTAGAACTCTGGTCCCTTATCGAAACCACCCAGAGGGACCCTGCAAGCCCCTGCCATGTCAGATGTGTAAAGAGGCCACTTCCTGAGCCCAGAGCTCCTGGGCCAGAGGTCAGGCATGAGCTGAGTGGCCACTACTGCAGGGACACTCGGCCTCAGGGCAGGTAGCCCAAGCCCCCGCACGGTGCACAGCCAAGTCAGAGAGCCCCTCTCAAGGACAGGCCTGAGGACCTGCAGGCTGCGGGGGCAGCTTCCCAGCCCTCAGGGTCCTGCCCAGCCCTGCACATACTGTAGCCCTGGCTCACAGGTGGGTTGCGAAGCACAAAGGGCACCCCAACAAGGAGCCCATGTTGCAAGGGTCCTGGGCCACACGGCTCCCTCCTTATCCTCTCTTGGAGGCCCATCATTGGCTCTGAGGCTCTGGACACCTTGTATAAATGTCTCAAGAGATAAACGCTCCGGGCGGGAAGAGGATGGAGTTGGGTTTCCTGCCACAGAGGAAGCTCCTCAGAGTTAACAGCTCCCAGGTGGTGGACACTTGGCCGGAGTTGCCTGCTGCCCTTGAGGAACTCCCACCCACCACCCTCACCATGGACTCTGGAACTATAGCCTGAGGCCGACCACAGTAGTGGTCACCTCACCAGGAACAGTGGTTGGAGGCAGGGCTGGGGGTCAGTGAGGTCTGAGGACGGTGGCACACCTTTCCCTCCACCCACATGGCTGTCACCTGGACAAGCCAGGCCAGAGCCTACCTGTGGCATAGAATATAGCAGAAATGGCCAGCATGGGCCAGGCACCAGGTCCAGCCACACGGCGGGCGGGTGGCCAGCAGTGGGGTGCCACAGCTCACAGCCCCCACCACTGCCAGCAAAGCCCACACCAGGGCTGGGCAGGCCCGAGGCTGGAGGCCTCTGCGGGGGAAAAACCAACATTTCCCCTAGCAAGGGCCACGGTGCAGGGCAGGCAGGCTGAAAGGCAACTTTGAGAGCCCGGAGCCCCATTGATTCCTGCACAAAGGATAAAGGAGCCTGCGGTCGGCGTTTCCAGGTCCAGCCAAAGACGACTTTGTTCACAGCTCCCCCACCCCCCAAGGGGACAGTGATTTATTTTCCTCGCAGGAGGGGGGCCCAGACGTGAACAGGGAGGCTGCCCCACATCTCCACCTCAAAATGCCTGGGCCTGGCTCCTGCATGAACACTTCAACCCCAGCCACAAACTGGCCAGCCACACCCCGGGAGAGACAGAGAGAGGGAGGCCAGGGTCAGCACACACAGGAGCCCTCCACTGCCCCCTACAGAATCACACCATCTCGGCCTCCTGCCCCTCCAGCGCCCAGGCCAGGCGCCAGAGCACACCGTCTGCGGCGCAGCAGCGAACAGGGTGGCTGGGCTCAGAGAGCCGCAGCGGGGCCGGGGAGCTGGCTGCACAGGCTAGCCCAGCCTTCCCTACAGGGCCCAGTGAGCACTATTCAGAGAGCCTGCTTCAGAGCTGTCCGCTGTGGAGGTATCTCCCTGGGAGTCGTTTGAATTCCCACTGCAAGGAACGACAGGGAGCAGAGGAAGCCAAGTCCTATCTTTTGAAAACACAGACTAGGACAAACCCAAGATTGTGAAACCTGGGGCAAAGGGGAACTCTTAAAATATGATCTGGATTTACAGCGGTACCCGGTCCAGAAACTGCGACAACCCAGGGAAATGTCTTTCAAAACAGCCCAAACCACGTCTGGCTCTCGGTCCATGGAGGGTCCAGGCGGGGCCTGCTCACGGAAGGAGCAGGAACGGCTTGGAACAGGCCTGCCCCTCCAGTCCAGGCCTGGGGGCAGAAGTCAGCACAACTCAGGAAACCAGTGCCCACACCTCCACGGTGAACCACAGGCCCCCGACTGCAGAGAGGGTTCCCTCCCTCCTCAGCACAGATCCAAAGTGGATGGGGGGGCACCCCCTCCAGGGCCCCTCAGTGAAGACCAGGCCATGCCTGCCACACCATCCACCAGTCACCTCTAGGCCGGCCAGGGACCATGGGAGGACAAAGGCCTCCAGAGCCTCTTGGCCAAGTGGCCAGAGAATAGGCAGGTGCAGGGATGAGGGAGTCTAGGCAGATAAGAACAATCAAAGCCAGACAGACCACTAGCTGTGGCAGGGCTCACCCGGCATGGCCTGGGCACCACAGTGCCCAGGACGCTGCCCCGCCTGGCCACACTGGACAGCCCCCACCCTCCAGCAAGCCAGGGCCGGGCGGGTGGCAGAGGGGGGGAATGGTGGCATAGGTCCCACCTGGGCTGCCACCCGCCGCCCAACACCCGAACGTGGCCATATAAGGCCAGGTTGGGCTCAGTGTGCTGCTGGGCAGCGGGGGAGGACTGGTGGACACAGAGGGCGATCCTGAATGGTCAACACACCCCAGGACCCGCCTAACCCTGGACAGCCAGCACTGGCGCTGGAACATGGTGGGCAGGAGTCCGCCAGCACATACCGCCCATTGGGCACGGATGCCCATCACTAGCCTGTGTCCCAGGGCAGGGCTGTCCCCTTGGGATGGCCACACCATGGCCCTGACACCCAAGGTCCTCAGGTATCAGCCTGAGACTACCCCTTGCCACGCAATGCCCCCTCATGCTTGGGGACCCCTTAGCCTGGATGAGCAGCCCAGGGCCCAAAGGCTGAGTGAGTCAGGATGGGGCCCAGACACCAGACATCACCAGTGTCTCCCACACCCCCAGCCAGGTCACACAGGGTCCTGGTAGGTTCCCAAGGACCCACCTGGGTCCACTGTGGCCACAAACAACTCAGTCCCCCCAACTCTACAGGGTGACCAGCTGCCCTCCACACTGGTGCATGTGTGAAAATGCGTATGCAAGGCCACAGGTGTGCCCTGAGCCCACTGGACAGCAAGCCAAGTGACTTGGGCCCAACAGGTGAGCTGGGGGTACCCAGAGGGTCAGCTAGGGGTACCCCATGGCCAAATTGGGAGTACCTTGGGGATGAGCTGGGGCTCCCTCAGGGTGAGCTGAGGGTGACCCGGAGTGAGCTGGGGGTACCCCACGGGTGAGCTGGGGTGTAGGAAAGGAGGAGTTGGGAGGGGGAGGTGCCTGGAGGTGAGCAGGGGGTACAAAGGTGAGCTGGGGGTACCCCTTGAGTGAGCTGGGGTACTTTCCAGGTAAACTGAGAGTACTCCACGGGCGAACTAGGGGTGCAGGAGGCGAGCTGCGGAACCCCGAGGAGAGGGCTAGCGAGGCAGCAGAGCGTACCAGGCGGGCACTGTGGCAGGGGTCAGGGCTGGCGGGAAGAGGCGGCGCCAGCACTCACCTCGCGCGGCAGCGGCCGGCGGGAGCGCCCCCAGCAGCAGCGGCGGCAGCAGCAGCACCAGCGCGGGGCTCGGCGACATCTCGCGGCCGCGGTCGGGGTCCGGGCCCCGGGCGCCGAGCTGCGGGCGGGAGCGGCTGGTGATCAAAGGCAGACAAAGGGTTCGCGCTAATTACCGCGCCCCGCGCCCCCCGCGCGTCTGGGTCCCGGCCCTGCCCGCGGGACACACCGCGCCGCGAGCAGATAATCGCCTGCGCCATTAGCGAACAAATTTGCGCCGGGGCCCACGTGGGGCGGCGGGCGGGGCGGCCCG